TTTTGATAAGGGAGCTGAGCACATGATATGGAGAAAAGATAACCTCTTCAATAAATGTTTCTGGGAAAACTGAATATCTATGTGTAAGAAATTAAAGCCAGATTCATATCTTGCACCTTACACAAAAGTCAATACAAAGTGGATCAAAGATCTTGCGATCAGACCAGATACCATAAAGTACACTGACGAAAATATAGGCAAGACAATTCAAGATTTGGACCTCAAAGGCAACTTCAATGATCTGATATCACTAGCAAAGTTAACAAAATAAAAATTAAACAAATAGGACTACATAAAATTAAAGAGTTTATGCATGGCAAAAGAAACATGGGTTAAAACTAAAACAAAGCCAGCTAAATGGGAAAAAATATTAACATTCAACACATTAGGGAAAGGGTTGATATCCAGGATATACAAAAGTACTCACAAAAATCAATTTAAAAAATATAAAAACAGAGAGGAAATGAACAGAATTTCTCAGAGGAAGACAAGAGTATGGCCGGTAGGGACGTAAAACAATGCTCAGCATCACTTATCACTAGAGAAATTAAAAACAAGATGAAAATGATATATCATCTCACACCAGTGAGAATTACACATTTCAAAAATAGTAGGAACAATCTGTATTGGCGGGTACATGGTGAAAAAAGGAACTCTTATCCACTGTTGGTGGGAATGTTGCTTAGTACAACCCCTGTGAAAAACAGTATGAAAAGTCCTTCACAAAATGAACTACCATCTAACCCAGAAATTACATTTTAGACATTACCCCCAGGACTTAAAAAACATTCATTCAAAAGGACATATACACACATATTCATTGCACTTCAACAATAGCTAAGATATAGAATCAACATAGGTGTCCAATGACAAATGGATTATGAAGATGTGGTATATATGGTATATGCATACACACATATGAACACACATATACACACAGGGAATACTATGCAAGCCTGAAGAAGAAAGACAAATGCAGAATGATCTCACTTATCTGTGATATACAGAATAACTGGATGAGGAAATGTATTGTACTAAATTGGGGATATCTAGATCACCCTTGATCCCAGAGTTTATAGAGAAGGACAGAGAAGGGGGGAAGGAAGAAGAGAAAGCAATGTAATGATAAACAGTGATTTGGGCTTCAGTTACACTGTGATGTGGGAGAATGGTATGGTATAGCAGTATTTCCAAAACACAAACACATCAACACCAAAAACATGAGATGTAAATTGCAACTGCTAGAACTTTGTAATGAGCCTGTCAAAGTGACAGGCAGGGGTAGGGGTATGGGGGGGATAGAATATGGGGACACTGCTGGTGAGATTGCTGTTGAAATGTTAAATCTAAAAATAAACTATCAATCACTTTGTAAATCATGGTTATTTGGTTAAAAATTATTTTTTAAAAAGAATCATCATCCTGGAGAGATAACACAGATGGCAGGGTGCTTGCCTTGCATGCAGTTGACCCAGGTTCAATCCCTGGTACTCCAGAATGATTCCAGAGTCAGAGACATGAGTAAGCCATAAGAACTGCTGGGTGTGACCCAAAGACCAAAAAAAAAAATCACTTTCAATAGTTGACTGGACAGAGAAACTATGGTACATATACATAGTGGAATATTACTCAGCCATAAGAAAAGATAAAATCATGCAATTTAATGCAACAGAGAGGAGGAGGTGGTGCTGAAAGGTAGTAAAGTATTATGTATAAAACTATCAGCAACAGTACTGTAAACCACAGAGCAAAAATATAATTAAAAAAACACCTCTCTTAGAGGCAGACTGGTGAATGGGATGGCAAATGCAGGGGTGGGCACTGGTGAAGGGACTGGTATTGAAACATCCTATTCCTGAAACCCAATCGCAAATAACTTTGTGATTTCATGGTGCAAAAGCAAAATCACTACCTTAAATGAGGCTGGAGAGACATTATAGCCCATGAGGTGTGGGGGTATATGCCTCAGCAGAGCAGAGTGTCCCCAGAGACCTGACGGGAATGATTAGTGATTCCCTGAGCACAGAGCCAGGAGTAAGCTCTGAGAGTGGCTGGGTGTGACCCCAAACTAAAATCATCTTCCTGTAAGAGTCGTATTTTAGGGTCCAGAAAGATGGCTCAAAGGGCCATGCTTTGCATTTCAGAGGGCTGGGTTTGGCTCCCAAGCACTGCTGAATGTGGAGTTACCCAACATCATTGTTTAATGGTCTTAGCACTGTTGTTTGCAGCTTCTTCCTTGCTTATAGTGAATCCTTGGGCAAGAGCTCCAACGGATGTGGGCACTGACAGATGGCATGTCGTCAGTAGGGATTCTACCTCACCCCAAGCAGTGCAAGAAGATGTTGTGATTTGGAACCCTTGCCCCTCAAAGTTCCGGAAGCTATCACAGGACTCCCACACCTGCCTGGTCCCTCTTCAAAGACTCTCTAATACCTCACTCTATGAAGCAATATTCTAAGTGTTGTTTCTAAGACAGAATGCCTGGGGGCCCTGGTAATGCAGGACAGTGCTGCTGCTGACTCATCATGTCCAAGCCGCCCTCCTACTTATTGTTTCATGGAGTTGAGTGGGGAGAGAGGACAGATTCCTGGACCCCTGCTTTACCTGGGAATCCAAACTCTAGGCTGTCTATTAATGGTTCTTGGTGACTAATGACCAGTGTTCATTTAGCTTCCATGCCCCAACTCCTCAGGAACCCTGGGAGAAAGGGATAGGAGGTAAAAAAATGGCATCTTTGGATACCTCCCTGGGTATGGGTTCCTCCTGTGAAACTGGCGCAAAGAAATTAAGAGTAGCTGGGCCAGGGAGAGAGTTCAAAGGGCTGAGCACCAGGAGGTGGGGATTTGATCCCTGGCACTGCATGGTTCCCTAGCACTGTCTGGAATGACACCCACTGCCCAGCACAAAGCAGGGAGTAGCCCCTAAGGGATGTGGCCCAAAAACAGAAAAGGAGAAAGAAGGAAAGAAAGAAAGGAAGGAAGGAAGGAAGGAAGGAAGGAAGGAAGGAAGGAGAGGAAGAAGAGGAGAAGGATGAGGAAGAAGGGAGGGAAAAGAAGAGGGAGTGAAGAAAGAGAGGGAGGAAGGAAGGAAGGAGAAAAGAAGGGAAGAAGGAATTAGGAGCAGCAAGCGCTTCCAGATAAGGCGAGTCATCCTGGTCTTCCTTTTCCAAAGACCTAGAGATAAGGATAGTGTTCTTCACCTGCCCTTCCCCCAAAGTGTAACTTTAAATTAGTTTAGATTTGCAGATAGGATGGAGTTTACCTAAGGGAACCAGGCCTTGAGGGAATTTATTGTTCACTCCTGCCATTTCTAAAAACAAACTTCCCAGTTCTCTCTCTCTCTCTCTCTCTCTCTCTCTCTCTCTCTCTCTCTCCACACACACACACACACACACACACACACGCACGCACGCACGCACTTCTCAAGCAGTTTCCTTTGAGGATAGGTGTGACCACCATCTTCCACCTTGCACTTCTCCACCTGTCACTCTCCAGTTTCTGCAGTAATGGGCCTGTGGACTGGCAGTGGAACTGATCTTCACAGCTGTGGTGTAATCCACAGCAACACACAATCAACCACAACTTGTCCCAGGTTGTTTTTTTCCCCTTCAGAGTTGGAAAGTAGAAACATTTATTGAAAAGTAGAGGAGAAAGGAAAAGAAACTCCCCACATGGGGGGGAACTTAGTATAGGACTAAGTTCTGCTTCCAAGTTTTACCCACAGGACCCCCAGGATGGAGAGCAGGTGGGATTGCTAATTGTTTTTTTTTCTTTTTGTTTATTTGTCCCTTTGGGGTTGAGGAAGTTCTCTACAATGAGGAAAGTGTTAAAAACTGATTCCTTTTTTTCTGTTTTTGGACCATGCCCAGCCAAGTTGGGGGACTATGATATATGTCCCTGTGGCTGGGATTAAACCCTAGGATCATGCATGCAAATTATGTGTGCAATCTCTTCCAGGACTGCAGGGTTCCTTAACTCTTTTATCTTGATTCATCTGCTGGTCTGGCTGGTTTTGAAGGCAGTTTTGCGTGTTCCTAGGTTAATTATTTAGGTTTTTGGACTATACCTGATAGCGTTCAGGGTTTACTTTTGCTTACTTTCAGCTCTGTGCTCAGGGATCACTCCAGGGGGTGGGGGAGGCCTGATCTTCTGTGAGCAAACAAGTGGCTTACCTGTTTACCCCCAAGTATCCTAACATACCCCCAAGTTATCTGTGTCCTTGGGGGTGTGGGGGTGGGGTGTGGGTACATACCCAGAGGTGCTCAGGAGATCCTGACTTAAGCAACTGGAACCAGGGCATCACATGTCAAACATTTTAACTCCTGAACCATGACTCTGGCTCGTTCCTAGTTTTATTTTTGTTTGCTACTGGGAGTGTGTGTGTGTGTGTGTGTGTGTGTGTGTGGTGTGTGATGGTGGGGGAACACACCTGTCAGGGGCACACCTGGCAGGTATTATTTCTGGCTGTATTCAGGGCTCACTCTTGACAGGCTTGGGGGACCATATGGAATGCCAGAATCGAACTTAGGTTAGCTGTGTGCAAGGCAAGTGCCCTACCACAGTACTATTTCTCTGCCTAGTTCCTAGTTTTTAAAGGTAAGGAGAGGCACCGTCTCCACGGGCCAGATTTGGGGAAGCGCTGATCATCACACAGCACAATCATCCCTAAGGATCATCACACAGCACAGTCAGCCCTAAGGATCATCACACAGCACAGTCAGCCCTAAGGAGGGCTTACCGGGGTTTCTCCAAGAAACCTGGGTAAGTAGCACGTGCGCAGTCGTTGGGATTTCCATGGAGATGGGGATTCGGCAAAGGGAAAAGAAGGTTTGGAGGCCTAGAAAGGAAACAGCTACACACTACGGGGCAGCCTACGTTTATTCAGGTTTTAGCCCGTCCCTCGCCAACTCCCTTGGAAGCCCCGCCCCTCCCCAGAGCCCCGCCCTAGGCCCCGCCCACCACCGCCCCGCCCACTTCCGCCGCGGAGTGCGGCGGCGACGCTCAGCAGTTGGGGCTCATCACCCGGCAGGAGCAGGCGCTCCGGAAGAAGCGGCACTGGCAGGAGGCGCACGGGTCGCAGCAGGCGGGGGCGGGAGGCCTGCAGCTGTCGCGGGTGGCCACGCAGGGGCTGGGCAACCGAGGCCGCGCCGCTTTCCTCATCGAAGCCCTTTTCTGCGGGGAAACACCGGGGCTGCCTGTCTGTACTCTGCCTGGCTATGGGGGTGCCGCCCGCACTCCCACCCGGCCCCCTCTTGCCCACAGAGCGCGGGGCAGGTGGCCGCCTGCTCCCCCACTCATGCCCTCCTGTCTCCACTTCTATCAGAAACCTCCCTGGGGGTTCCCACTCCGCTTCACGGTGATTTGATTTTTGTTTTGTATTTATTTTATTTTTGCTTTTTTCGGGACACACCTGGAGATGCTCAGGGGCTACTCCTGGCTCTGCACTCCTGGCGTTGCTTGGAGGACCATGTGGGACATCGGGGATCGAACCTGGGTGGTCCGCGTGCAAGGCAAACACCCTACCCTCTGTACTATCGCTCCGGCCCCCTTGTTTTATATTTTAATTGCTTAAAAAATTGTTATCTCGTGGGGGTGGGGGATGATGGGAGGGAACCTGGGGACACTGGTGTTGGGAAATGTACATTGGTGGAGGGATGGGTGTTGGAAGGCTGTGAGACTGAAACCTAATCATGAACAGCCTTGTAAGGGTCTGTCTCACAGTGATTCAATAAAAACTTTTTTTTTTTTTTTTTTTTTGGTTTGGTTATTGGGCTGGAGCGATAGCACAGCGGGTAGGGCGTTCGCCTTACAAGCGGCCAACATGGCCGACCCGAGTTCGATTCCTCCGCCCCTCTCGGAGAGCCCGGCAAGCTACCGAGAGTATTCGATATGCCAGACACAGTAACAACAAAGTCTCCGATGGAGACGTTACTGGGCCCGCTCGAGCAAATCGACGATCAACGGGAGGGCCTTTACCTTTACCTTTACCTTTTTGGTTATTAGCCCTATTATTTCAAAGAAAGAAAGCTGATTGCGATCAACACACTGACTTCTACAGTATTTCCCACAACTAAGAAACCCTGTCGGTTTCAGCGCCATGGTTTTTAGCTACCATCTCCAGATCTAACCTCTTACAGTGGAACCTTGATCTGCCAGTCTGACCCTCCATTGGCCAGGCATCCACTTCTACTACTACCCCTGCCTACACGGCTGCTCGCCAGCTTCTCTTGCTCTAGAATGAAACCAACTTCACTATGGCCTTTGAGACCCTCTTGCTTAGACTCCACCCACCTCTTGGACCTGGCTCTATGCTCAGAGGTCACTTTCTGGCAGTGCTCAGGGTCAGTTGCATGCAAGGCAAGTGCTTTCCTGCCATACTAGCTCTCCTACCTTCATCTTATTTTTCTGATTACCTTTGATTTATGGTAAGAGGTGTTAAATCTAGTTATACATTTTTTTTTAAGTTTTGATTTTGTTTGAACTTAATCACAGGTGAAAATCAGATATAACAAAAATTGTAACAGTGGTTTTGAAAGGATCAAAGTGGGAAACACCCAAAAGAATGAGAGAAGGTATTATTTCAGGCAGGCTAGTATAAGACAGTGTTTTAGCTGGTTAGCGATTTTGCTCAGGAAACCTCAGCATCCTGAAATTCTGTGGGGGTTTGGCTCCAGACCAGGAATACTTTCTGTAGTTTTCAACTTTTTGTTTTTGTTTTGGGGTCACAGTCAGTGGTGTTTAAGGGCTATTTCACACTGGGTGGTCCAGGATTGCTCCAGGAATGTGCAGTGCTGGGGATTAAGCCTGGACCTCAAGCGCGTAAAGCATGTGTTCAGCCTGTTGAACTCACTCTCTGACTCCAGTGTTCAGCTTTTTTTTTTTGTTTATGAAGACCTGGAAAAATCTTAGTTCTAAGTCAGGCTTGGAGTCCTTCCCTTTTATGTGGTCGAATCCCACCAGGAGAATTCCCAGGCCTACCTTGGAAGATTTCTTCTCTGCTTCTTTTCTGCTGATCTTTTTGGATTTCTTGTTCAGAGCTTCAAAGAGAGAAAGGAGTAAAGTTAGATGTTTCTGGGGGCTCTGAGTTTGGGAGGAGTGGAGCGAGCGCCAGGAATCCCAGGGGATGAAGTGGAGGGGTTGGCTGGATGAATCTAATCTTGACACTTAAGAACCACCTGTTCTTGGTGACCTGGCTAGCTGGGGCCAGGGCCTGCTGTATTGTCCTCTGATCCCAGCAGAGGCCCTGAGATCCACCTGGCTCTGGTCTCTGATCTACTGTAACCTGGTTTCTCCTATAGGGACCCTTTGGTCCCTACTCTGAAGGGTGAAGAATATTGTGATACCTGAAAATGGTTCTAGTGTCAGAAACATAAAGGGAATTTTGTCTTCTTTTGGTTTGGGACCACACTAGAAGATTCTCAGGGCTTACTTCTGGCTCTGTGCTCAGGGTTCACTCCTGGTGGTGCTCGGGGAACCATATGCAGTGTAAGGTAGACTGTGTACTTTACCCCTGCACATTCTCTCTCTGGTGGGCTGGAGAGATTGTTCCATTAAATATTTTTTCTTTTTGTGTCATACCTGGTGATGCTCAGGGGTTACTCCTGGCTCTGCACTCAGGAATTACTCCTGGTATTCTCAGGTGACCATATGGGATGCGGGGGATTGAACCTAGGTCTGCTGCATGTGAGGCAAACATTAAATTCATTAAATAGCCCCATCCATTACATTCTTATGTTTCATTTCTTGGAGTTCTAGTGTCAGGCACATATTCTTTGTTTGCTATATGACAGCTGGATATCCTTAGGAAATCAACTTTGTCTTGCATGGACTCATTTACTCATCTGATTTGAGGATAAATGAGGTATGGTTATAAAGAGAAAATCTGGCACATTAGAAATAAGTCTGGCTCCTTCCATGCCCTTACCTCCCTGTAAGAGATATAATATCATCTCTTGGAGAGGGCAGAGAGGTAGTACAGTGGGTAGGGTACTTGTGTTGCATATAGCTGACCCATAATCAATACCTGGCACTCTACATGGTCCCTAGTACCACCAGGAGTAATCCCTGAATGCAGAGCCAGGTAAAGTCCTGAGCACTGCTGGATGTGCTTCTTTTTTCCTCTAGAGGCAAGGCAGTAAGGGATATTAATTTTAAGGTTATTTGTATTAGTCCTGGAGCTAATTATCTGGGTTTTAATTCTGGCTCTGACAATTGAGAGCTATATGCTATTAGAGTAGTTACTTCATGTCCCTTGGCCTCAGTTTTTTTCATGGTGAAATAGGAATGAAAAATAGTACTTGTTAAAGAAGTACTAAACCTGTCAATTATTGTTATTGTTTGAAATCAGTAGGATTTCCAATGCCAGGTTCTAATACCTGAGATTGGCCCCAAGGCATGGCAGGGGTGGATCATTCATTACCTGGTTATTGTTCATAGCTTTTCCTGAAGTTTGATGGGACTCCTATTATTCGACAAGTTTCAAAAGCTAAATTTAAAAAAGTTCATAAAGTGTCTTAACTTTAGGCCTTTACAGAGCTCTTAAAATGCTAAGCCTTTGGCTGGAGAAATAGTACAGTGGGTAGGGCATTTGCCTTTCATGCAGCCAACTCAGGTTCAATCCCTGGCATCCCATATGGTCCCCCAAGTACTGCTAGGAGTAATTCCTGAGTGCAGAGCCAGGAGTAACCCCTGAGCATCACTGCATATGACCCAAAAGCCCCCCCCATTAAACAATAATAAGAAATAAAATTTATTAAAAAATAAATTCAGTGCTAAAACATCTTATACTTTTCACCACTAATATATTAAGAGTATCACACCACATTTGATGGGGTGTAAAGTAGAAGGCAATCTTAGGGGGAAATACGTTTATACATATACATATATATGTGCATATATATATAGATATGCACACAAGGCTCGGCCTTTAGCAACATGTTACTAATCTCTTATAGAAGGGCTTAATGGCTCCTGGGTGAAATACAACAATCTTCACACACTTTCCTCTAAGTAAACTTTTTTGAATCATTTTTAAAGTGGATTATTCATAACAAGCAATGCAAAATAAATTATTTCGGTTCAGCTTTGGGGCAGGATTTGGGATTTGAGATGGAAACATCCAAAATATGGTGGTGGGAAGGTGTAAGGGTGGTGGGATTGGTATTCAAATATTATATGTAATCAAATATTGTGGGAAAAAATTAAATTAAATTAAAAAAATTGCTAGGTCTTATATTTTAGGTTGGTCTTATATTTTAGGTTGGTCTTATATTTTAGGGCTGGGCCCAGAAGAGCCAAGGGCTGCTTCCTTTCTCCAGAATGATTGTGTGGGAGAGCAAGGAGGCCTGGTCTATGGCAAGGAGCCCTAGAATCACCCTGAGGAAGACATTTGCCACCCCACAACCCCTCCTCACCGGCTAGAGGCCAAAATCTGGGCACTTACCTACAATAGAGACAGCCGGGAAATCCAGGAGGTTTAGGGAGGAGTTGCTGCGCAGGCTCTTGTCATCCTCAGGTGCCAGGTGGCTATAGGCAGCGAGGCCACACAGAAAGACCAGCAGGGTCAGTAGGAGCAGGCGGGGGACAGCCATTCTGGGGGACCTGACCGGAACAGAGAAGACCATCAGGAGGGGTAGCAGAGGCTTGTGATGACTGGCTTTCTCTGAATTTCCTCTACTGGCGCTCACTGGTGCACACGTTTCCAGGTGAGCTTGGGTGCGAGTAAGTCTGAAGACTGAGACAAGGAAGGGGAAACCGATGAAGGAAGAAATGAAAAAAGGAGAGACAAGGTGAGGAAGTAAGGAAGACCAGTAATGCAGCCAGAGAAAGAAGACAGTCAGCTAGAACACATGCTTTGAATGTAAATAGTTGCCTTACCTCTAAAACCCCAAATGTCTAAGACCCTTGACCAGTGGCCCAAGAAGCTTGGGGCATAGATACAGCTGATTTTGCCAATGCTGTGGATCTGAGCAATGCTACTCAGGCACCAATCCCAACACTTGCAGGTCCTTGCTACCCACCCATGGCGTGGGGGAAGAAAGCAGGAAGACAAGACCACTGGATTTGGAGGAGTTCACCAAGTCCTGAAGTTGTTTGTTTTATTCTTTGCCAGTGGTCAGCCCAATCCCAGGGGTACTGAGGTGCTAATTAATGCCAAAGCTACTTCAGATCAGACCACCATGATGCTCAGGCCAACTGTGAGTGTCTCCTTTATTTTTGGTTTTGGGCCACAGTCAGCTGTTCTCAAGGCTTAGTCTTGGCTCTTTACTCTGGTGAGCATGTGGGGTGCCAGTAATGGAACCAGGGTCAGACACATGGAAGGCAAAGACCCTACCTACTTAGTACTATCATACAACTGACAACTGTCGTAACAGACATTTTGCTCTCCTCCTCCTCCTCCTCCTCCTCCTCCTCCTCCTCCTCCTCCTCCTCCTCCTCTCTCTGTTCTTCTTCTGGAGTTACTCCTGGCTCATGCACCAGGAATTACTCCTGGTGGTGCTCGGGGAACCAAATGGGATGCTGGGAATCGAACCTGGGTTGACCACATGCAAGACAAACACCCTATCCGTTGTGCTATCATTCCAGCCCCTCTCTCTCTCTCTTTTTTTTTTTCTTGAGGGGGAGGAGGGATGGGACACACCTCGTGGTATACAGGCTATTCCTGGCTCTGTGCTCAGGAATGATGCCTGGAGGTGCTTCAGGGGAGTGTATGTGGTGCTGGGTGGGGATCAAATTGGGTACAACTGCATACAAGGCATGTGCCTTCTCCCATGTACTCTCTTCTGCCCCTGTATCCTTCTTTTTGTTTTGGGTTTCACCTGGGTAGTGCTTGAGGGCTCCTCCCAGTGGTGCTGGGGGAGTCACGCAGTGTTGGGGATCACACCTTGGTTTCCTTCATACAAAGTATGTGCTCAGCCCCTTGAGTTATTTCTTCATTCCGGCAGCTCCATTCTTGTTCTGTTTCATCCAGTCTCCAAATAGTAGCCAGAGTGATTTGGGAATGGGATGAAATTTATATCATTCTCCCCTTAAAACCTCTTTTTTTCATTGTTCTTGGGGGGAAAAAATCCAAAGTTCCTGCAAGGCCCAAGTTTGGTTTTTTTTTTTTTCTGACCTTATCTGACATATGAGTTTATCAAAGAGCGAGGGTGGAAAGTGTCTCTGGTCATGTAGCTGCTGCCACTAACTCACAGGCGAGGCTCTTGAATGAATCCCTCTGCGTGCATTTGGTTCCCTAATTTATACAGATTGGTCCCAAATCCTAAATGAGGGACTCTTTTTTTTTTAATCAACCTTTGTTACTCTATGTGACCTTAGAGAAGTCACATAAACTGATATACTGATATGTTCACCTATGTGCTCAATACTGATATTTGTCTTTTTCTCACTGCTTCAAATTTAAATTATTATAATGTATGGGGGTTTGAAGCCAAGGACTTACATGTACAAGACAAGTGTTCTATTGTTGGGTCATTTATATCCCTGGAGTCCTGCTTCAGACTAGGGGGCCAGTTTGGGCCTTACCTGACAATGTTTGGGAGATGCTCCTAGCAGGGCTTGTGGGACCATGAAGAATTGGGGATCTACTGAGGTTAGTCACTTGCAAGACAGGCACCTTAACCTCTACGCTCTTTGTATCCATACTTAGATTTTTTAAAAAAGAAATAGAATGTTATAAATATAGCTCTCCATTAATTTTTCCTCTTTCCCCTGGATTGAACCAGGGGAATTGGTAAGTACCACTCTCATGAATAGTTTTGTTTTGGGCCACATCTGGCTGTGCTCAGGACTTATTCCTGACTCTGTGCTCAGGGATCACTCCTGGTGGAGCTAGGGGGATCATACGGAAGGCCAGGGATTGAACCTGGGTCACTGAGTGCAAAGCACTGTATCTAAACCAGCTGTACTATTCAGGCCCAACCCATGAATGTTTTAATACTTCTACATATATGATTTTACTTATTTATTTTGAAGTAAAGCAGATTTTATTTGGAGGTTTTGAAAGGAAGGAGGGAGAAAAAGTGGGAGAGAGTGGAGAGTAACTTGCTCAAGAGAGAACTTAGGCTTTTCCAAGAGTGGAGAGAATCCCTACACACTTTCCAGGATTAGACATGAAAACATGAAAGTACACATCTCAAGAGGGGAGATGTGGGTGACACAGGTGCTAGGGCACCACATGTGCTCAGCCACGTGGGCAAAAGCAGCACATGGGCTCAGGTAGCATATGTGTCATGATTTTATTTTTTTAAAAAACAATGTTTGGAATGTTTTATACACTGACAAAAATGGTTCAATATTATTTGAATCATTCTGCATCTTGATTTTTTTTTTTTAGTAACATCATACAATTGAGAAGTAGCATAGTTTAGTGTTCAAACACTAAGATTCTAAGGTAGACAACCTGGTTTAATATCCTGTCTTTACCATTACTAGATTCATGATCTTTTTTCTTTTCTTTTCTTTTTGGCCTATGTCTAGCATTGTTCAGGGATTACTCCTGGCTCTGTGCTCAGGAATTACTCCTGGCATTGTTTGGGGAACCATAATGTGGTACCGGGCATTGCACAGGGACTGTGTACAAGGCAAGTTTCTTAACCTTGTACTATCTCTCTCTGTCCAAGCTGTATGATAATGGGTAAGTTGATTAACTCCCTGAATCTCAGTTTTCTGACACATAAAATGGAGGTAAGGTAAAGGTAAAGGCCCTCCCGTTGTTCGTCAATTTGCTCGAGCGGGCCCAGTAACGTCTCCATTGGAGACTTTGTTGTTACTGTGTTTGGCATATCGAGTACTTCACGGGGAGCTTGCCAGGCTCTGCCGTGCGGGTGAGATACTCTCGGTAGCTTGCCAGGCTCTCCGAGAGGGGCGGAGGAATCGAACTCGGGTCGGCCATGTTGGCTGCATGCAAGGCAAACGCCCTACTGCTGTATGGACCGGGGCTGGAGAGATAGCACAGCGGGTAGGGCATTTGCCTTGCATGCGGCCGACCCGGGTTCAGCATCTCATATGGTCCCCTGAGCACCGCCAGGAGTAACTCCTGAGTGCAGAGCCAGGAGTAACCCCTGTGCATTGCTGGGTGTGACCCAAAAAGAAAAAAAAATTGTATGGGCCTCATAGGGCTTCTGGGGGCTGCAAAAATAGCACAGAGGGTAGGGTGCTTGCCTTGCATATGACCAACCTGAGTTTGATCTCTGGTATACCATTTGGTCCCTTGAGCACTGTCAGGGTCAGGAGTAATTCCTAAGTGAAAAGCCAGGACTAACCCCTGAGCACCACTGGTCTGGCCCCAAAACCAAAACCAACAAACAAAACAAACAAACCAAAACCAAAAAACCACATACACACACACATACATACACACACACACACACACACACACTCACAAAACCCCAAATCTCATAGGGCTTCTGAGAGAATTATGTATTAAAGTATGTACAGACCATGGAACAAAGTCCTTAACACAGTAAATTCTATGTGTATTATACTATAATTTGAGATTTATCTAAATATTTAGAGAATCCATTCATTCAGTTTAACTGCAATAAAATTGGGCCAAAGTGATAGTACAGTAGGTAGGGCACTTGCCTTGCAGGTGGTCGATGAAGGTTTGATCTCCAGCATCCTTTATGGCTCCTGAGCAAGTTTAGGAGTAATTCTTGAATGTAGAGACAGGAGTTACTCCTTAGCATTGCCCGGTGTGGCCCAAAGCCCAAAGTAAGAAAAAAAAATTAACTGCAATAGTGTAATAGTTGGTGTTTTTTTTTTTCTTTTTGAGTCACACCAGGCGATGTACAGGGGTTACTCCTTGCTCTGCTTGGGGGACCATATGGGATGTTGGGAATCGAACCCAGGTTGGCCATGTGCAAGGCAAACACCCTACCTGCTGTGCTATCGCTCCAGCCCCCAATAGTGTAATAATTGGGCTGGAGTAATAGCACAGCGGGTAAGGCATTTGCCTTGCACGCGGCCACCCGGGTTTGATTCCTCCATCCCACTCAGAGATTCCGGCTAGCTACTGAGAGTATCCTATCCACATGGCAAAGCCTGGCAAGCTTCCCGTGGAATATTCGATATGACAAAAACAGTAACAAGTCTCACATTGGAGACGTTACTGGTGCCCCCCTCGAGCAAATCGATGAATAACGGAAAGACAGTGCTAAAGTGCAATAGTTCCTAAAAAGGGAAAGTTAGGTCAATGACCTTTTTTTTTTTAATTTTTATTAGTGAAACACCATGAGGTACAGTTGTAGACTTAAATTTTTTTTTTCTTTTTGGGTCACACCCGGCGATGCGCAGGGGTTACTTCTGGCTTTGCACTCAGGAATTACCCCTGGCAGTGCTCAGGGGACCATATGGGATGCTGGGAATTGAACCCGGGTCGGCCGCATGCAAGGCAAACGCCCTACCCGCTGTGCTATTGCTCCAGCCCCTAGACTTACAAATTTTTGTGCTTGGGTTTCAGTTATACAATGATCAAGTACCCATCCCTCCACCAGTGCCCATCCTCCACCACCACTGATCCCAGTATCCCTCCCACTCCCCATCCCCCCATCACACCATGCCTCTGTGGCAGGGCATTCCCTATTGTTTT